ACTTATTTTTCAGTTTCTTGTTTTTGCGTTTTGTTCCCGAGATATTTGAATTTGTTTGATATGTAAATGAGTGTGAATATCCGCTAATTTATGACGTCATGTTGGTTGCAAGCTCTTCAAAATGATTGAATATCACTGCTATAATCCAAGATGATAACTTCAAACTTCACTCACTGGTAAATGTGATAAAACACTGTAGAAAAACGTGAATAGATAACTAAAGTTTTTAGATTTAATAGATTTATAACCAGTGTAAGTTGAGCTTGCAACCAACGTGACATCATAAATTAGCGGACATATTCACACCATTTACATACCAAACAAATTAAAATATCTCGGGAACAAACCATAAAAACAAGAAACTGAAAAATAAGTTACACTACAGCTTAAAGAGTTCTTTCATTAAAGAAAATAAGAAATTTCATGTCATATGCACTTTAAATATTCCGTATAAATATTCAAAATATATAGACCGCTTAGAGATTGGGGCCGCTTGTGTCCCACAACGAGTTATCATCACCTGAATGTTCGAACGTCTATATATGTTAGGTATGTTCTCTTTTTGTATTATACATATACATATATGTATGTATTGTGACATAGTGCCCATGTGTCGACATGACTTTAAAATTTCGATGAATATTTGTAGCGGTAGATGCTGATATATTTGGAACGTTATACGAAACTTTCCCGCTTTCAAAACTGCTATTATGTAACTATTGCTTTAATTAAAAATATTCAAGGAAGAAAAATGAGGTCTAGTTGGCTGAAGAGGGGTTAATAGCTCAATGTTTTGGATAACCCTCTCCAATCCGGGCTTCGATGTGTACCAGTTGTATCTATTATTCATGTAAAATACAGTTTGTCAACGTCGCGCTTGTGGGACTCACGATTATGAGGGTCAAATAATTACAAGCTCAACTGAAAGTTACATAATATTGCGTAATACATTACGTTCATTATGTTACATTGATGCACATATTTTGGTAATTGCATCAAAATATTATGTAATCCACTGTTTTCCAATTGCCCCCAAATATAACGTATACTTTCGCAATTTGGCATGCACAAACACAGTCATGACTAAAGAAGCCAGTCTAACAGTTTTCGTTGCGCAAATCAAGTATCTGCAAAAATTAACTAAACATAACAAAAAAATTATATCAATTGTTCTAATTGTCGGAAGAACACGGAGAAAAGAATGGTAGCCTGTCAAAAACCATGCTGCTCCCCGGCGGGGAATCGAACCCCGGTCTCCCGGGTGACAGCCGGGATACTCACAAACAATTGGACTTACAGGCTACTGTTAAACCTTTTCAACTAAAACCAGTAATTGATTTTCCCACCAGAGGTGCCAATATTCTTGACCAAATTTATACCAATCTATTTGAATACTATTCACCCCCTACTAGTGCTCCTCCATTTGGCTTATCAGACCATCTAACAATTGCCATGTGTCCTGGAACGAGGAAAAGATCGCACGAACCACAATCGCGTATTGTTAAAACAAGAGACAAGCGACCCAGTAATATTAGAAGTCTTGGTCGATTTCTCCAGGAAATTCCATGGGACATTTTATCGTCCATACCCTCAAATGATCAAAAACTATACTTTTTAACTAGCATTATAAACTATGGTTTGAACTTAATTATGCCTGAACGTTAAATAAAAGTCCACCCTAATGATCGACCATGGGTTAATAGCAATCTGAAATCACTGATAAATCGTCGACAAAAAGCCTTTGCATCTGGTAATGTCACTCTTTTTAAAATGTTACGTAATAAAGTTAATCGTGAACGAAAACGTTGTCGTAAGAGCTATTATCAATCTAAAGTTCATAATTTACGTAACACTAACCCCCGAGATTGGTGGCGGGAAGTGAAGCAGTTGTGTGGCACATCTAAACTAAACAACAAAAGTGTAAAAGACCGCCTCCATCAAGATTTATGGCAGGAGACAGACATAAACCTCAGTAATAAAATTAACAATGTTTTTATAAATGTGATAAAGAACTATGTTCCATTATCTGAAGATACGGCTGTAATTGTACACAACGATGAAACGCCTATTATTGTGACCGAGTCAACTATAGCTAGAAAATTGCAAGAAATTAATACATCGCGTTCCAGTGGCCCTGACGGTATTTCCAATTGGGTTTTAAAAACCTATTCGGATATTCTCGCCTCACCAGTTGCAAATATAATCAATTCTTCCTTTCAAAGCTGTAAAGTCCCTCAAATTTGGAAGCTGGCCGATGTGGTCCCCTTACCAAAAACATCTACTGTCAAAGACTTGGAAAGGGAATTACGACCTATTTCCTTAACTTCCACTCTATCAAAGATAGCGGAACGTCTTGTAATCGAAAGAGAAGTAAAACCAACTCTGTTAAAGGTTGTTGATCCCCAACAATCTGGCTTTATTCCAAATTCTTCCACTGTACTTGCCTTGATATCGATGCTCCATTGTTGGTTGAGTGCAACAGATGGAAGTGGTTCATCTGTTCGCACTATATTTCTTGACTATAAAAAAGCATTTGACATGGTGGATCACACCACATTAGTTGCGAAATTATTCAGCCTTGGTATTAAGCCCTGTGTGGTTAACTGGATTATTGACTTTTTACGTAATAGATGGCAAAGGGTCAAACTAAGTGATAATTGTTTCTCAGACTGGCTCCAAGTTCCAGCTGGTGTCCCTCAAGGCACACGACTTGGGCCTTGGCTATTCTTAGCCATGATAAATGACCTTGTGTTACATAATCACCTTTCAGAAATGTGGAAATTTTCCGACGATACTACGGTCTCTGAAATTGTTGAAAAAAACGAACAAAGTACTTTACAAATGGATATCGATGATATTACTACTTGGTCTATGGACAATTCCTTTCAACTAAACCCATTTAAATGCAAAGAAATGGTAATATCCTTTTCACGATTACCACCTGCTTTTGAACCTATACGTATTGGTGACCGAAATTTGGAAAGAGTGACAAGTATCAAATCGCTTGGAGTTATATTTAGAAATGACCTTAAATGGATAAACCATGTAAATTCAATTGTCTCCAAAGCAGCTAAACGTTTATATTTGTTGAGGCAACTCAAACGTGCTGATGTCGCTTCGGCAGATTTGGTCAAATTTTTTTGCAGCTGTATAAGGTCTGTCCTCGAATATGCGTGCCAATTATTCCATAGTTCCCTGCCACGAAATCTTGCAAAAGCATTGAACGTATACAGAAGCGAGCAATGAAAATAATATTCTATGAATTGTCTTACGACGAGGCTCTTAACATCGCTGGTATTTCCACTCTTGAAAACAGACGGGAGTATCTATCCAATAATCTCTTCAACGACATTGTTTTAAATGATGATCATAAACTTGCCAAACTTTTACCATCCAAAGCAGGCAATAGAGAATTACGAAAAGAAAGATCTTTTGAAGTTTTACCAGCAAATACAAATCGTTTCGGAAACTCTTTTATCAACTTTTATGCTAGAAACATTACAAATTAGATGTTCCTTGAACATTTTAGAATTTTTAACTCATATAGATTAGTACATTTAAGTATATGATATATAGTATATATTAACAATTTTTAAATTGCATTGTAATATAGAATTTTTTACTATTTATAACCTTGTAACACTTAACGTCATGTAATTCAGTCTTCTGACTGCCAGATGATGTTTTTATTAAACAAACTATTCATTCTTATATACTAACGAGGACTACTGATGTTCGGTTTTAACACTTTACGAACAGGTGATATTTCTATGCGACACCCAAAAAACTGTGGGATATACCCAGAGGCGAACCTCGCGAATTTGGATAATATTGTCATTACGTATATTCGCTATAAATAAGTCGAGTAGCTGAAGTGGCGTGTAGATTATTTAAATTCCTCTTGCTCTTACAATTTGTTAACTTTAATTGATTACAGGAAAAAGAGTGTTCGTGGAATAGTTTGACAGGCAGGAATATTCGCAGCCTGCGTCTCTACCTGCCTAACCGCTTAAAACTGGAAGGCGTACAAGCTATTCGATTAATGACTTCTCCATCTTTAGTTATACTTTAAGAAATGGTTTAATGATGCACACTTATAGTCCAGTCAATCTGTGACCAGTGGTCAAAGAAATTGCAATATAATTTTTCTCAGTGGTAAAATGTGAGGGAATGTGTCCCGATTAACATACTAAAAATAAAAAATAAATCCCTTCGGTGGAACATGGTGAAAATCAAGTTTTTCTTACTTCTACCTATAGAAAACCATTGTGGACAAATTTTGAAATCATTCTTAGGCAAATGTAACCTACATTATTGGAAAGCTTAAACAAAACTATATAAAGGTCAATTAAACCGTTATATTCAATTTACTGGTCAGTTTGTCGTTATTCTAGCTCCAAGTTGGAAAAATAGCGCAAAACTTGCACAAAATACAAATTTATGGCATTTTAAATCTTGTATAACTTCGGCTGGATAGGCCAAAGCAAGGGAACCGTTTATTGATCTATATTTTAGTTTTTTCTAAGCTTTTCAATGATGCATGTTATATTTGCAAAAAAATAATTTCAAAATTTCAACATTTTGACCGCAATGCTTTTCTATAGGTAGAAGTAAGAAAAACTTGATTTTCACCATGTTCCACCGAAGGGATTTTTTTGGATTTTTAATATGTTAATCAGAACAACTTTCACACACTTTACCACTGAAAAAAAATCTATTGCGATTACTTTGATCAGGACCACGTACTTATAGTGATTCGACAGGACTATTACTCCAGATTCGAGAAAGAGGACGCTTTTTTAGATTTTTAAACACACATCTAAAATTTAGAATCCTTCGAACCGGATTCGAACCAGTGACCTAGGGATTATTACTGCGAACAACTACAGTCCCCCGCTCTACCAACTGAGCTATCGAAGGAGATCTGGTAGCGTTGGAGACAAATAGTTTAAAAAAGTACCATGCATTCATATTCGAAATACGCTCCTTACCCCTTTTAATTAATTTATTTGATGTTAATTGCAACTATAAACTGAAGCACAGTTTATAGACTAAGAGGTTCACTTTTTATATTATACATATACATATATGTATGATGATGATGATGATGATGATTTTATTGATCCATCTTTAGTTTAAAAATACAATGGATTTACAAATATGTCTATTAAAAGAGAAGAGCATAACTAAGCATGCAATGATATTTACAAACTATCTAAAATTTATATATATACAATTTGGGGTAAAATATTTTAAAGTCTAGGAAATTATTTAAAAAGTTAATAAAAACCAAGTTTGGTTTTAGTGCAACCCCTGTCTCATTGCTCGTGGGACAAAACTATTTCTGTGTCGTTCAGTGCCTGAGAAAGGTGCGTATTTGAATATACCGTCTCTACGCCTAAGATTATAGTTATGTTTATTATGTTCCATAGTTCGTTGATAAAAGATATGACTTGGATCACCTAAGATGTTAACGAGTTCCCTCGATGTGGCTTCAATTCTTCTCTCTTCGAGAGTTGGCAGGTAATCATGCGGGAGGCCAATAATTCGTAGACTCCTCCTTTGCACACGTTCCAATTCGTCCTTTAGATATCGTGGCAGACCACCCCACACTGGAGAACAATATTCAAGGATAGGCCTGATTTTAGTTAAATAAGTGGTGAGACCCACTTCGACTGGTAGATTCGCTCTTCTACATTCTCGTAGGCAGTACAGGTTTTTAGCTGCTTTGCGGGTGGTCTCCTCGACATGTTTATTCCATTTCAAGTCCTTTTGAAACCAGGTTCCCAAGAGTTTAAAATTATCGACTCTTTCTATGATAGCATCTCCTATATGCAGTGGTAGAGGGGGCGGTGCTTCGGTGAAGTTAATCCACATATCTTTTGTCTTTTTGGCATTCAGTTCCATTTTATTTTCCACAGCCCAACTTTGTACTGAGTGCAGAGCGCTTTGCAAATCGCCAGATTCTCCTAATCTTATGGACGTATCCATGGTGCAATCGTCCGCATATTTGATTGTGTTGACACATGCCTGTTCAGAAACATTTTCCTCCATATCGTTAAATTGTATGTTGAATAGGGTCGGCGAGATAGCAGATCCCTGAGGGACGCCGGCTGGGCATGATGCAGTAAAGGATAGTACACCTTGGAGATTTACCTGTTGTGTTCTTCCCTCCAGAAAACTCATTATCCATAACCAGAAACTCAATGTTACATTCATATCAGCAAGCTTGTCCAGAAGGATCTTATGGTCAAACGCCTTCCGGAAATCAAACAAATAGGGCGTGGACACCTTCTCTACCGG